CCCCAAAACCCCAAAACCCCAAAACCCCAAAACCCCTAAGATGTAATTACTTATAGAATAATAAGTTTTTATTACAAATGGATCCTCATAAGTAAGTTTTCCAAGGGATTTATTGCTCGTATCTTCCCAGATACTCTTTTTGAACCAATTAAAAATTAAAACTCAGTGAATGTTAGTGAGGGTGTTAAGTATATCTATTAAAAGTTAAAATAGCATGCTGTTAATCCTCTGGTCTGACGAATAGATAAAGTGATAAGAACATAGTTATATGTACTCATTTACCTTCCCTAATTAAAAATAAATCATTTTCCGTTTTATCAAACTATTGATCTCTTTAATAAAATCTTTATCCCACATCTACTGAGTGGATCAAAGTATACCTCAAAGCTAGATGCTTCTATTTAATGAATGAAATATAGTCAAATAGTCTGAAGGGGTTTCCCTGAACAATATGAGATAGATCTTCCTTTTCAGAACTTATTTTTAACATATGTACAAACTTTTGAATTCTAAATCCAAATTCTTCAAAATGTTAGAAAGATGAAGGAAATTATTCATAGGTTATTAATTTAAAACTTAAATTGGTTTACCAACCCAAAAATGGCCTGCTTGAAAAGCCAAAACACTCCAAAATTTATTACTCAACTTGCTTACTCTTCAATGATAGGCAGCTTAGCTTGTTTGTAGTAATTTACTATAAGCCCTTTTCCAGTTCTCTAAATAAAACTGTATGAATAATTCTTATCCATTTCATGGTTTACTTTCTGCCATTATACTCATAAAAGTACCCTAAAACCTCTACTAAAATACCAAAATGTCCTGCGTGCACTAATTAAGTTTCTAGAAGTCCCGTTTTGAATGCAAGAGAGTGCCAGCCCTCTGACCAGGTGAGAAGAGGAGACTTGCCTACTAAAGTGTATGCATATTTTTAATATTTTAGCAAAAGAGAAAAGTTTATTGCAAACCACCATGGCAACAAGCTCGATTTTATTTCGCTGTTATAAAGCAAAAACCTTGTATGGATTGGAGGTACAAGTTGAAAAAGACTATTGTTAAGCAAGGGATCATTGGCAACCTTGAGAACTATACACTGGAAACAGATGGAAAGTTGAAAGAGAAAATTGACTACTTTTATAAGGGTTATAATAACTCTATTAATTATAAGTAAATGGATGGAGTTTAAAGAGGAAGCTCAGTCCCAAACTAATAAAGGTAACGAATTTTAGTAAATTTAAGTAGAACACAAAACTAAATGGAAGGAGATATCCAAACTAGTTAAAGATGACCTAGCCATTGACTGATTTAAACCAAGTAATTCACACAAGAAGAAAAAGGAAAATAAGAGACTCAATAAATACTCAAAGAACCGGAATAAGAATTTGTTACGGGATAAGTCCGATACTGAAAAATTAGTAGCTATAGTCTGTTATTTTAGGTGAATTTCAGTAATAGAAAGTTCACTTCAGAGCTTAGAGGTTTGGACCAGTTTAAAGCAATGAACACAATGCCACTCAATACTACAAGTATGCAGAAGAAGGCATATTCGGAAGAGCAAGATTCTCGCACTCCTGTAAGCTTCTTATGATAATTTTAAAGCCTCCACCTAAAATTTTAAGCTCTCCCCAAAATACTAAGATTCTTAAATCTACCCTTGTACATTTGAAAATCTGATCCAATAGGTTCCTATTGATGCAAAATAAAGCAATTTTTAATTTCAAAAATCAAGTGTCTACAAAGGAATTCGCAATGACACCTCCGAGTGTCAACCTGAACCCTATCAAAGATGAAGAAAGGGGAGTCAGCTTAAGGAAAGAGCCTTCATTTAAAATTAGAAAGTATTATTAATTATTATTTCTTAGAAAACGCAGACTGCTTAGGACTCGATTCAAAGGGTTTACCACTCAAAACCCATTTTTGGATAAAGTGATAAAAAAGCAGAGGGACAAAAGTAGACCTCCCAGGAGTTCAAAGCGAGCACAAAAAAGCATGAAGATCAAGTGAGCCATTAAACCATCGACTTTAAATAAACTTTTTCTAGTATTAGCAAAGAGCCCGATGATAATGCAATTGATCTTCCTTTAAAAGTACTGGTCTGCCGTCATCATCCATAGACCAAAAGAAATAGGGTTTTTAGTGCTGACATTAAGGAAATCAAGGATGACAGTTTTCTGTTTCCTCCAAAGTAAGTGCATATTAGACCTGTGCTAATCCAAATAGAGTGGTTAATGACAGTGATGAAATTAAACCTAAAGTAAGAAGATCATTCCAAAATAAGCTGCAGAACCAAACGCCTAATATAACTAGTCCAGACAAAGGTAATGTTCACTTTTCCTCAAAATTTTAAATGCAAAATTCTTCTTAAGTGACCTTGTTAGCTATGAGACAATGACTTTATAATAAAATTTCTTTGACTACATGCTAATAAAGTTCTATAGAGATATATCCTGATCTTCCTGATGCTAGAGGAACTTCAATTTTGGATCCTTCTGAGTTACAATCTTTCTTAGAATCAAGCCTTGCTGAAGACAAGTCATTACTATTGCAGAGACCCTCTAGAATCTTGTCTCCAAAGCCAAGGATCAACACGAATTTAATTAGAATGAAAAGGACTAAAAGTAAGTTTAGCAGCACCTTAGCTTTAAGAATTTAAATGAATGTTTAGGATTAACAAAAGCATCTCCTTTCAAGCCATACCTTCTATAAACATTTGAACGGAAGTGACCAACTGCAACCCAAGCAAACCAGTATACCAAACATTCATTATTTTTAGTACAAAATTCAAAATAAGTGAACTGTCTCACCAAGCCTTTAGAAAGCTGTGTCGGGTTAGTGCATTTTACATTGATGCGTTTGAAGTTAATTTCAATAAAATTAATTAATAGGGGTTTTGGGGTTTTGGGGTTTTGGGG